TCCTTCTTTTCCGTTTTTCTCAAAACTACATTTTTACAACTGGTGTATCAAAAATCTCCGAAACTGTACGTCCGATTTACTTCAAATTTGATACACATAATTCTAACAACATTATCTATCATGTAGCATAGGATTTTTTTGATACCATATCCCAATTGTTTATAGTAATTGTTTGAATTTTGCCTTTTTGGTAAAAATTTAATGTTCATTTTCACTTTGCTCGCATTTGTACAAAAATGCTTTTTTCTCTCAATCCCTATGCTACACGATAGATATTTTATCAATGAACAATAAAACTATGGGTTTTTTAGTTTCAGATAATCCTGGGCATCACAATCCGTTACACCGTCTGCGCGCGTCCTGACGGAGGAGTTTTGCCGGATAACGGATAGCTCGGCCATTTTTTAATATTTTTTTGTCAAATTTACACAATATGTCCTTTAATGTATGCCCTAACCATAAATAATAATGAAGTAATTGTCACATTCATAGTTTCGTAGAAAAAAATTCGTAAACTTTGATGTTATTTCGGCCGCCTCAGGGTGGCGTAACCCCTTAAGTTTATATCCAAACAGGTTTCAGCTGCGTAAATCTGCGATTTTGGTATTGGGAGCATTTTTTCTGTAACGTTGATCAATGTATGAAATATCTCGCTTTCATTTTGGGTCATTGATATTGTCTTAAATAGAGTCATATATTTTTTAACTTATTATTTTATTGTATGTGTTATTTTCTACAAAAAAGTACTAACATATTTATATCAGGAGATCATTAGTTTTAATTTAAAGACTTAATATTAATATTCAAAAGTCTCCGAAAGTAATAGTTTTTCGACATAAATATGTTAATACTTTTTCGTAGAGAATAATACATTTAAATGTATATGATTCCGTCTAGTCATGTCTAGTCACCTGATTGGTAATTTTTACATTGACATCCACCTATTCCGCGCGCCTGAAAAGCGGTCCGTGCGGAGTAAGCAGTACCAATGGGGGTGGAAGGCAAGACAAAGATGATTTTGCAATGTGGTGGAATTTCCGCCAGGCTTGGGCCCCTGGACATGACCTGGTCAATGGCCATTAGGTTCAGTCTCTGGGCCCTTTGGAAATTGCACAAACAGTGACTAATACACCATCCATGGCAGTGTGTTATATATGCAAAACGAAACCATCGGAAATGAACAATTTAGATGCCATAAGAAATAAACCTGAAGCTGCAAATGCCCTTAACTTGGGATTATCACCTCTACATGCACGAATCAAGTTTATGGAATGCATTCTGCACATTGTATATAACTCATCGTTTAAAAGTTGGAGAACAAATATACGCACCAAACCACAACAACTTGAAACTAAAAAACAAATACAAGAAAAATTCATTAAAAAAATGGGACTGAAAGTGGATGTTGTAAAACAGGGCATGGGTACCAGCAACGATGGAAACACCTCCAGAAGATTTTTCAGTAACCCAAAATTAACAGCGGAAATAACAGGGGTGGACGAAAATTTAATCCATCGTTTCTCAGTTATATTACAAGCAATAAATAGTAGCCATACAATAGATTCTGAAAAGTTTGGCATTTATTGCAACGAGACTGCCCATTTGTACGTACAGCTGTACAGCTGGTATAATATGCCGAATACAGTACATAAAATACTTTTACATGGGAGCAAAATAATAACAGCTGCTATGTTACCAATAGGAATGCTAACCGAGGAAGCTCAAGAAGCAAGAAATAAAGACTATAGAAAATATCGGTTGAAACACTCAAGAAAATGTTCGCGGATATGCACCAATGAAGATACGATGCACATGCTTCTAGCTTCTTCCGATCCGTACATAAATAGTTTTCGAACAGTGCCAAAGAAAATGATGTTTGAACTCAACAACGATGTGACAGCTTTACTTGCAGAGGACAATGATTAGGTAATTACAAGATAATAACTACATAAATATAACTATCTTTCTTTTTCATATTTAATTTAAAACGCATTTTTCTTTACAAATCAGAAAACTATTTGTTACATTTGCATAAATGTGACTGTTTGCAACGAAAAAAACATTTCTTAATTTCTCGTCTTTTATCACAAATTATTACTTCATTTTGGATCAGTCATTTCATTTTTTTGAAATTTTTACTTCAGATTTATAATCAGCGTCCTCAAAAACATGGGAATACCAATTTTTACGCAAATTGAATCTGTCATATTGATGCTATCGTATTTTTTCCTTAATATGGGTAGTTTGAACCACTGTGCGCCGTGGCAAAACCGTACGTGTAAAACCTCGACCGTATCGCGAAATCAAGTGTAAAAGTTTTATCTTTGTTTTTTGTGAATAATAAACCACATTCCCGTTACAATTTGACGCCCAACTAGAGGCCACGTTAAGTTCATCACGGCACCAAAGAAAGATCCTAAATCACCTGGTGGAGAAGTAAGAAGAAGTCCAAGGAACATGATGACTGTCGAAATGGACGACCAGCTAAACCGCTTGCTGGCCACGCTGACAACTCGGCAAACATCCCCACCAACCACGTCACAGGGAAGCTTCGAGCGCTGCACCACGCGTTTTGGAGGATCAACGAACAGAACAAGGGTCGAAGAATTCATCTCGACGATCTCGATTTACAAAGAAATCGAAAACATTTCTGACGTAAATGGGATCAAGGGCCTTCCACTACTACTGGAAGACGAAGCAGCGACATGGTGGCACGGCGTCAAAGAAGATGTGACGACATGGGCTCAGGCCATGGATCTGCTGCGCGCCGCATACGCACCAAAGAAGCCCGGATACGCCGTGTACGCAGAATTATTCGCAACAAAGCAGACAGAGAACTGTGCGACTGACGTATTTGTTCGCTGAATTAACGCACAAACACGCAGAAGAGATTCAACTTGACATGATATAGGTACTCTCTCCTGAAGCTGCGCATACGCGAGAAAATCCCGCGGTGTTCAGTAAATAATTTTGAAGAGCTCATAGGGAAAGCAAGAACGTTGGAAGCTCTTGAAGAGGAAGCAAGGGAACAGCAGGAACCATTCGGCAAACCCTTACCGACCCAAGTAAAAAAACTTGTAAGATGCTCGTTCTGCCGAAAAACTGGTCACTCGTTCGAAGAATGTCGGCGAAGGAAAGCCAAGGAACCAACGAAACTAGAACCACCAACTCTCCACTGTTATGGATGCGGAAAACCCCGGAGTTATAGGAAGTCGGTGTCCGCAATGTAGCCAAGCCACTGTATCCAGCATCCAGACGGCAGATTTCTGTTCCGTGAGCCTAGCCCAGGCCCGAAATCGTCCAACGGCCCGGATCCAAATCGAAGGATTCGAAGGCCACGCCTTTTTTGACACAGGGGCAAAGGTGAGTATCGCGAGTGATAGCCTGTACAATAAACTGGCAGCAAATGGAACCAAATTCCAGCAGCGAAAACTCCTGATTGCTCTAGCGGATGGACATCCGCAAATACGGTCAGTCCTATGTGCAGATTTGACGGTCCAGCTCAAGGATCGAAACATCAAATCCCCGTTCATCGTGCTACCCGGGGCAACCGAAAACCGGACTCTCCTAGGCATCGATTTCCTCGAAACAGCAGGAATCATAATAAACGCAGCACAACGTTCATGGAATTACGTGGATCAACCCAAAAATCACCACTTTTTCGAAGAAGAGCCTCCAGTGAAAGTATCGCAGCCAAAATCCAAGAAATTCCCCAAAAAGGAGTTGGCTCTGGTAGGGACGCAGAAGCCGCCTGCTCAAACACCCGAAAAACGGATGCCTGACGAAGAGGATTGGAGCGAGATGTGTCACATGCCGCCACTTCTGTCACCACTACCACCCACTCCAAAGAAGACTCAACAAACGGATATCAGCACTCCACAATCTTGTATCCCAAACCATCCCAACGCCCAAGCCGAGGAAACGCGAGTATCGCGAAATCAAGTGTAAAAGTTTTATCTTTGTTTTTGTGAATAATAAACCGCAGTCCTTTTTTATGCGATTTTGTTTTTGTGCGATTAGTTTTGTTGCGATTTTTTTCGTGCGATTTATTTTTATGCGGTATATGAATCTTAGCGGCGTTAGCACCAGTTTAATGTTTCCTATCAATGTACATATACACTGCCGCTCATAAGTATGTGGACACTTAACGCATTCACGAAATTTGTGATATATTATGTATATTTCGATTATTAAATAATGTTTGTTGCTAAATTCTATTAGTTATACGTATGTAATGTATTCTAGTAGTGCTAATTTAACAATTTAGTTATGCAATTTACTTAAATAAATAAAAGTAATTCTATCCGATGGGTGGAAAACTGCGTTATATGTATTTCGTTGCGTGCGTACGGTTTGTAAGGCTATTTTCTCGCAGTTTACGATTACTGCACCACTTGAGTGAGGCCTGTTGCCTTCTTCAGAGTAACATAAACATTTGGAAATGTAATTCGAAACGAAAGACTGTTAGATAAGAGCACAGCGATCACTCTAGTGATCTGCCTAGATCAGTTCAGTTTAAATACTTGGAAGAGCACGATGGGCACGAAAAGAAACGAAATAAGCGTCGAAATGCGTTCGAAAATATTTACTTTATCGAAAGAAGGGTATTCTATAAGGAATATTCCCGAAAAAGTAGGAGTTTCGAAGTCTTGTGTGAGCTACAGCATCAATAGGTTCAGTGTTGCAGAAGTTTGTTCCTCTGTAAAAAGACCTGGAAGACCCAGAAAAACAACTGAGGCAGAAGATCGTCATATTATAACTATAAGTAAAAGAAATAGGAGAGACACAGCCCCCGAAATAACTGCAGAAATTAATAATTATAGGGACCGCACAATTTCGGTTTCGACAGTGAAAAGGCGTCTTAACACGTTCGTTGCCCAGCGCAATTCGGTTGAGTTTCTCGCGGGGCCCAAATCCGACTGTTGGAACGCCGAAACATAAACAGAGCGATAAGCGGGAAATAGCAAGGATGTAACTCGAGTTGGCACTCGAGTAACGTTTTCGAACCTTCGATTCATAACAAAGTGTGTTTAGTTCTGAAATGGGGAGAGCGATAAGGTTTTCGGCTAGAGGACTGTCTGTGATCTCACGGCAGTTATCCCAGATCCTTCATTTAGTCAAGAAGCATACTTTATTTGAGACGCACGTCGGTGACTTTTTTATCCTCAAAATGTTCGTTGGATGTCGTAAAAATATAATTGAAAGTGAGGAGAGTAGTGATGACGAAGTAGTGAGTTTTAGAAGAAAAGTTATAAATAGAATTTCATCGAGTTCAAACTCCGATTCTGAGGAATCATATGCAAGTGAAGACCTCGACGACATTTTGGAAGAACTTGCTATAGACGAAGAAGAGCAGCTGAGCTCTGTTCATGATTTATTGGACAATATCCAGTGGAACGAGTTTGCTAACAGGCAACAGTCATTTACGTTCACCGGAAAAGATGGGCTTCTGATGGATTTGCCGTCTGATATTAGCGCAAGTGAAGTGCTTTCGCTATTCTTAGACGAAAAAGTGATAAGCCTTTTAGTCACAGAGACTAATAGATATGCAGAGCAAAAATTGCATCAACAACAAATGGCTGAGCATGCTCGACTGAACAGGTGGAAACCCACCACTTCTGCAGAAATTATAAAATTTATAGGACTGATGATTTGGATGGGTCTAGTACAGACACCGCTTGTGAAATGTTGGTCAAAGGACCCTATCTACAACTTTCCATTTCCGCGCAGCAAGATGTCCCGTAATCGTTTCGAATTACTATTAGCAAACTTGCATTTTGCAAATAACGAAACGATAGAAAAGGGTAGCAGACTTGGAAAAGTTTTGCCACTCCTAAACCTATTGACAGACAACTTTCAAAAAGTCTTTTCACCAGGTGAAAATATTATAATCGACGAAACAATGGTTCCTTGGAGGGGACGACTAATATTCAGACAATACATACCAACCAAAACTCATAAATATGGTATAAAGCTTTTCAAATTGTGCTCCACCGAAGGGTATACATGGCCTGCAAAAATATATTCTGGACGAGACATCAGCGGAAGAAGGCAAATTGGCATAGCTGAAAACGTCTGCATTGTACTTGCAGATAAATTGATAAATGAAGGAAGAACTTTGTTTGTCGACAACTTTTACACAAGCTATGAATTAGCAGCCAAATTTTTAAAATTCAAGACGCATGTCGTTGGTACTGTGCGATACAACAAAAAATTTATGCCACGTTTTGTAATGTCGTACCCATTGAAGAGAGGTGAAATGATAGCAAGAGAAGATGACAACGGTATTGTGGTGCTAAAGTGGAGGGATGTTCGCGATGTTAGGATGTTATCAACAAAACATGCACCTATTATGATTTCAACCTCGGATTCTACTCATCGCGGACGTCCTCCTAAACAGAAACCTTTGGCGATACTGGCATATAATAATGGAAAAAGTGGCATCGACAGGAGCGATCAGATGGCGTCATATGCCACAACGATACGAAAAAGTATCAAGTGGTATCGGAAATTAGCACTGCACTTGCTTTTAGGAACAAGTATAGTAAATGCTCACATCGTGTACCAGAGAGCCACAAATAAAAAAATTGAAATAAGAAAATTTCGGGAGCTCCTCGTTGCCGAATGGTTGTCCCCGGAAAATGCTACGCATAGAAATAAAACAAGGAACGTGTTCCATAAGCTAGAGATTCGTAGGAATCAGCAGGGCAAGCCTATAAGAAGGATGTGCGCTCTATGTTACCAGAAGAGAAGGCAAACTGCTGAACGTCAAGAAGCGAAAAAAAATGTAAAAAAAACTACGACCTATTGTTTCAATTGTCCAAAATACCCTCAAATGTGTTTAGAATGTTTCAACGCACACCATACGACATAGTATAATGTAATATGTTATCCTAAATATAAATTAGTAAACAGTATAGTATAATATTTATATTTCAGTGCTTATTCCATTAAATTCCTTTTAAAAATCCAACTGAAAGTACTGTAGCGGCCATTGTATAGCCACTACGCCCTTGCCAGAGTATGAATGGGAATGGAATGTAAGGATAGTTTTAAGCTTTCTATTTTTCCATTTTCCCAGGGTCTCGTGCGAGCCTGGTCGTCCTGTTAAACACTTGGCGACCAAAGCCGTGCGAGGCGTCTGTTTTCCCTCAAGGTTTCGCCTGGGCCTCGGACCACCCTGATCCGGGCCCGGCGAGCCTCTTGACTTTTATGACTCGCTTTCGCTAAACTTTTCCTATACTGAGTATTTTCCAGTTTCGTTTTTCCGTCTTTCTGTCCTGTCTCTTTTTCTCTACCTTTGCTATTAGGGTAAGAAATTGTATATATTCAGGGGACGTGAGAAGAAAGACCCCCAGTCTATTTTAGACCCGAGTCTGGCTAAGACGTCGCGCGTTTGCGAAGCCAGTGTTATTAACTTTGACCTACGTGTGGCTACACCCCCGACACCCGCGGAAATAAACTCTTTAATAATTGTTGGGGTAGATTGAGGTTTGTCACTTGAACCTCCAGCCCCCTCAGTACTATTAACTTGAATAAGAGAGCGTCACCCATATTTGGGTGACGGGGCCCCCACAGAAGCATACCCGTCACCCAGATCTGGGTGACGCGGCGACGAACGTGTTAAGGAGGGCGGTCTTAGAGGCTGTGTTGCAGTGAAAAAACCATTCTTAAAAAAACAAAATAAGAAAAAGAGGCTTCAGTGGGCTAAATGCCATAAAAATTGGGCACTGGAAGACTGGGACAAGGTGTTATGGTCCGACGAATCGAAGTTCGAGGTGTTTGGCTCCAAGCGACGTGTTTTTGTGCGCCGAAAAGTTTCTGAAAAACTAAATGACAATTGTGCAGTGCCCACAGTTAAGCATGGGGGTCGTTCTGTGATGGTATGGGGATGCTTTGGGAACAATATGACTGGAGATTTAGCAAAAATAAACGGAATTTTAAGAAAAGAAGGGTATTTGAACATTCTGAGAGAACATGCAATTCCAACTGGACATCGCATAATTGGCCACAATTTTACATTTATGCACGACAATGACCCGAAGCACACTTCTACAATATGTAGAAATTATTTACTGCAATTGCAAGAGAATTTTGAAGTGAAAATGATGGTATGGCCACCCCAATCGCCCGATTTGAATCCCATAGAAAAACTATGGGATCACATAGATAGACAAGTTCGAAAACGATGTCCCAAGTCAGAAAAACATTTGTGGGAAATCTTACATTCTGAGTGGAACCTCATTGACACAGAAATAATGAAAAAGTTAGTAGCCAGGATGCCACGACTGGTAAACGCGGTCATAAAAGCACGCGGTGGATACGTAGACGAAAAGGAAATATAATAATTTTATATAGTTATCGGTGAGATATTTAATAAATTATTACTCAAATATCTTCTCTAATACTGTACGAGCTAGAATACATGCAAAGTAATCAAATTTACCAAAGATATCATAATTTTATTCAGGTAGATATAAGAACTAAGGAAGTGTCCACATACTTAGTAACTGACCTATTACGATATACACTCCCGTCCATAAGTCACCGGACACTTACTCGTTTTCAGCAAAAGAATGATTAAAACACAGATATAACTCTCTAGCTTGATTTTATTGTTAATCTTGTAATATTTAGGTATTTTACGATAATTTCGGTATATAAAAATAGAAATAAATATTAGTTATTTAAATAAAAGTTTAAAAAAGGAACTGCATGCATAAACACTTATTTCGTTACATTTCCATTCGGTACATGTTGGGATAAATTGTTCGCTTTGGACGTTCAAAACCATCAAAGGACTATATTGGGAACATTGTAAAGAGTTTATAAACACTTTGAGAGGAGTTCTAGACTAAACAGAGATAAGCATGGAGCTGCGAAGGCGAAGTCGCTGTTTCTTCTTCATTTCAAGTTTGACAGTGCATGTGATCAGTATGAGCAGTTCTAGAAAAGAATTATCCATTCAAAAGCGTTCGAGTATTATTACTCTTGCTAAAGAAGGCTATTCTGTGCGGGAAATTGCAATAAAAACTAAAATTCCGAAATCAACAGTGCATGATACAGTGAAAAAATTAACAGAGACTAATACTTTTGAATATAAAAAACGAACTGGACGGCCCAAAAAAACAACAGAAAATGAAGACCGCTATATACAAACGTTAAGTAAACGAAACAGGAGGATGACATCAACAGAAATTGCGGCAGAAGTTAACAAAGATCGAGAGGATCCAATTGGTACGACAACAGTTAAGCGGCGTCTTTTGCAAGCAGGGCTTCGCGGGTGTGTTGCAGTTAAAAAACCGTTATTAAGGACTCAAAATAAGAGAAAAAGGCTGCAGTGGGCAAAATTACATAAAGATTACACTGCTGAAGATTGGGAAAAGGTGTTGTGGACCGATGAGTCGAAGTTTGAGGTGTTTGGTACAAAACGACGAATCCATGTGCGTAGGAAACAAAGTGAAAAATTAATTCCCGATTGTATTGTACCAACCGTTAAGCATGGGGGTCAGTCTGTAATGGTATGGGGTTGTTTTGGGGCAAATCAAACTGGCGATTTAGTGCAAATCGAGGGAATATTAAAGAAAGAACAATATTTGCAAATTTTACATGACCATGCAGTGCCGTCTGGAAAACGCTTAATAGGACGAAACTTTATATTTATGCAGGACAATGATCCCAAACACACCGCAAAAATTTGTGCAAATTATTTAAAAGACCTAGAAAATAATCATGAATTGAAAATTATGGTATGGCCTCCGCAATCACCCGATCTTAATCCAATAGAGAAATTATGGGAAGAAATAGACAGAAACGTACGCAAAGTGTGTCCAAAATCAAAAAAGCATTTATGGGAACTATTACAAAAAAGTTGGACAACAATAAATCCAGAAAAATTAAAAAAATTACTCGACAGGATGCCACGACTAGTCCAAGCAGTGATAGCCGCACGCGGCGGATATATTGACGAAAAGAAAATATAAGACATTTCGGTAAGATATTTGACATTTCTCCACTACTTCTTTATCGTAAAATACCTAAATATTACAAGATTAACAATAAAATCAAGCTAGAGAGTTGTATCTGTGTTTTAATCATTCTTTTGCTGAAAACGAGTAAGTGTCCGGTGACTTATGGACGGGAGTGTATACCACCGGAACATCATGATTTCTTCAAATCCCTTTCACACGCACAAAATGTAGATGAGTAGTAAATTGTTTTGCAATAAATTTATGTTCGTAATTTTGTACGTTATGTAGTTAAAAAATGTTTTGAATGGCATAAATTATGTTTCCAAAGTGTTTTAAAGATATGTAAAATAAATTCAGTATTGTTTTTTTTTCAATTTGAAGCATCTTAAATTATGTTGAATGGACTTGGGCGCCTTCAAATTTTATAATGAATCTGGTTGTGTAAGAGAATGTTTGCCTTGTATGCAAGTTGCGAATATTCACACGGTATGTACGTTGCGCAGGGAGATCGTTGTTACACCGAGAGGCCGATGTTTGAATGAGGATTGATTAGAAAGTTGTACTCCGAGACGGACATTGTGACAAGCAAATAAACTAATATTGTTTCAAATAAATTAATTTGGTTCTTTTACAGTTGTTAATTTTGAAAGTGGCCTAACTCCATTCTTGATAAGAAAACGCATATTATTCACTTAATAATTGTCACTATTTTAATAGGAACTATAAATTTAACACCCTTAGATACACTTAAGCAGTATGACTCATTAGTATCCTATACGTATATTTTTAAATTCATTGAAACGCAAACCTTTAAATATCTCGATTTGAAGATAAACGGACTTACAAGGAACCATCGCGAACGGTCCGGCTTTGATTTTGATGAAACTGTGTACACTTATAAAGCAGCCAAAAATAATCGACACGTATTTTTTTTTAGCTGCGGTAACTCGAGTTTAAGGGGTGAAACCACCCCTTGAAGTTTTGGCTCGAAACGGCTATCTCGAAAACGGAAAGACATACAAAAAAATTGTTAATGGGCGAGGTTGATGGGTTCTTATGTACAATAACATGGTGTTAAAAAATTAAAAAAAATACCATTTGTTTATAACAAAAAAAAATTTATTAACTTCATTTTTCATTTTATTGAAATTTTCATAATGACAAAAAATGACGAGCATTTTATTCCAAATCCATTGGTATGCGATTTTTTAAAATTGCCTCCTACAGTTTTGCAGATTTTGATGATTTACATCTTGCGCGCACATCCATTATGGTAGTAGCCGTTCTAACTTTGATTTTAATGAAGCACTGTAGGCTTGCACTACTTCTAGAGGACAAAATCGGGAAAAAGACAAGAATACCAATTTGTTGATGGAGGCTTCGTTAAGAAATTATTAACGTTTAAAGTTCCGCCCGTACTGAATTTTTTTCTCCGAAATGCCCAAGATTTCGGGGTAATGTGTAATGACCAAAAATGATTGTAATCGACCCCTGCAACCGAAAATAATTTTTTCAGAACGGTTTGAAATTTTTTAATTTTGTTGAAAAATTTCACACATTCTCGAATTTTTTTCTCAAAAGTGCGTAGGATTTCGGGGGTATATATATTGACCAAAAATGATTGAAATTGACTCCCGCAAATGAAAATAATTTTTTTAGAACGATTTGAAATTTTTTTTTCGCTGAAAAATTTAGGCACCTTACGCCCTGTCGATTTTTCTTAAAAAATCGTTTTTGATTTTTAGTAATTTCGTTTATCGCCCAACAGAAATGTTGTCTAATACTTTTTTGTAGGTACCTATGAGCTCTACTTCAGAAAAAAGTTTCATTGAAATATATTCACTATTGCAGGAGTTACGGTTGTTTGAAAGTTGGACCATTTTTATGGAGTTTTTTTCATTTTCCGGCGTTAAGGATCAACATTTTG